TCTCTGGAGAAGTCTACAAATAAACTATGTTGAGGCAGCCAGCCTTCACAAAAGCTTTTTTTTTTTTTTGCCAGTCCTGGGGCTTGAACTCAGTGCCTGGGTGCTGTCCCTGAGGTTCTTTGTGCTTAAGCCACTTGAGCCACAGCACCATTTCTGGCTTTTTTGAGTAGTTTATTGAGATAAGTTTCATGGTGATGGTCTGGCTTCAAATTGCAATCCTCAGATCTCAGCCTCCTGAGTAGCTAGGATTACAGGCATGAGCCACCAGCCCCCGGCCACAAAAGCATTCAAAAGATCCCTTCTTCCCCCTTCACAATTATTAACTTGGAAAAAGGTCATATTGCCTGAAAAAGTACCGAAGTATAAAGCTATCAGAAAACAACACTTTTAAAACATTATGGAATCTAAAATTCAGTGCAACCCCCAATGGCATTCTTCACCAAGACAGAAAACAATCCAAAAATTCATATGAAACAATAAAAGACCCCAGACAGCCAAAGCAATTTTAGCCAAAATTGGTATCACAATCCCAGAACTCAAACTCTACTACAGAACTATAATAACAACAACAGCTTGGTACTGGCACAAAAATGGGCCCAAAGATCAGTGAAACAGACAAGAAGACTCAGAAATAAAGCCATATACTTATAGTCATCTGATATTTGACAAGGGAGCCAAAAATACACATTGGAAAAAAAGAGAGCTTTTTCTGTGTATAGGGTACTGAGGAATGGAACCCAGGGCTTCATGCCTGCTAGGCAAACACTCCACTGCTAAGCCACATTCCCAGCCCAGCAGAAACTTTTTGAAGGGTCCCAGAGGCATAGCAGATAGGAGAGAAACTTAACAAATGGGACTACATCAGCAAATGACATAGTTACCAAACTAGGACAGTCACAGACTGGGAGAAGATCTCTACCAGCAATGCATCTGACAAAATACACAAGGAACTCAAAAACTAACCTCCTTCCAAACTAACAAACCAATCAATAAATGGACAAAGGAACTAAGGAGAGACCATCTTAGAAGAACTAAGCATGGCAAATAAACATATGAGGAAATGCTCAACATCCTTTTCCATAAAGGTAATGCAAATTGAAACAACATAGAGATTCCATCTCACCCCAGTTAAATTGGCCACCATCAAGAATTCAAAAAGAACCCAGAAGTGGTGGAGCCATAGTCTGTCAGGTCTATGGTGGTTCTAAGTGCCTGCCACCGTATCTAGGACTGCGTATTAGTCCATGAAATAACAGCTCGGTGGACTCAAGGTTGCTGCATACAAGCAATCAGGGGTTGGTAAGTGAATGTCTTGAACATGCCATCCGCAGGAAAGCTGTCTTCTTTAAGATACACAGAACCGCGGTGTACCTGAAGGACCGCTAGATAATCTGCAAGCTGATCATCAGCCAGCCAGGCCCCGCTGGCTCAGCATTGCCAATGGCCTCACCAATGAAAGCAAGCCTCCGTCAGCTTGTACCCCCTCTGTGCAAGCTTCCGCATCTCATCAAACTAGGTATCATGTGAATGTCGATTCATGGACACATAAGAAACTTCTAGATCTGTCTACAAAATTATTCTTGCTTAGTTTTACCTTGTAGTATGTGACTACTGATGGGTTAAGAGAAGTCCAGGTGTTGAAGACTGTAAGCTGTTCTAATGAATTACACACCTTGTCTGGACCACTTCCTTCAAGTCAGCTCAGACGTCGCCTCAGACTCCTCCTCATCTTTCAAACTAATCCCTTGCCTTCTTCATGTTGCTTTTTGTTACTCTGTAACAATTCCTGTCTGGGAGTTCCTTTACTGTTTGGGCTTCCACATAATCTGTACCTTCCTGTTCTTCAACCTTCTTCTCACCCACACAAAAAGCCTAGTCTTAATAAAGATGAGGTCCTTGTCTTGTTCAGGGGTACATTATAGCTTTGTGGCTACATTCCATCCAATAAAATACTGGAAAAAAAAAGGATTCAAACAACTAATTCTGGCAGAGACGTGAGGGAAAGGAGCCTTACTGCACTGCTGGTGAGAATGTAAACTAGTGTAACCACTCTGGACAGCAGTCTGGAGGATCCTCAAAAAACTAAACATAGCTCTTCCCTCTGACCTAGCCATACCACACCTGGCCACCATTACAAGTCAGGATACATAAAGACACTTGTGTGTCCATGTTCATTGTTGCACTATTCACAATAGCCAAGTTATGGAAACATCCCAGTGGTCCTAAAAAAACAGATGAATGGATAAAAAATGTGGTACACATACACATGGAATTTTGCTCATCCATTAGAAAGAATAATATTATGTCATTTGCAGGGAGATGGATGGATCTAGAACAAATCATGTTAAGTGAGGTAAGCCAAGCTCAGAGAGACAAACAGTGTGTGTTTTCTCTCATATGTGGAAGACAGATCTAAAATACAGCTGGACATGATCATTTATACAGGGCTGTAGGCACTCACACATAAACATTCAGACGAAAGGAAGATACTCTTAGGGGAAGAACCATAACTCCTCTGAACATCTAAAATACTATTTATCAAAATGAATTCCAGGAAATAAAAGCATGTTTGTTGTTGTTATTAGTGGTGGTGGTGGTGGTCGTTTTTTGAATTTTCAGGGAAGACAAGTGAGGGGCACAGAAATGGAAGAAGGGTGAATAAATGTAGTTACGGCTAATATATACTATGTGAATGATGAATTATGCAACTTGTGGGCAGGGACTGAGGGTGGAAACTGGGAGAAAGCAAAGTAAGGGTTAATATTGTACTCATTACCTAACTTACAGGATTTTAACCCCTCTCTCTACAATTCCTTAATAATAACAGTATTGTTTTGGTCGGTTGTGGGGCTTGAACTCTGGGCTTGGATGCTGTCCATCAGCTCTTCAGCTCAAGGTGAGCACTATACCACTTGAGTGAGCCATAGCGCCACTTCTGGCTTTTTTTTTTGTTCATGTGGTACTGAGGAATTGAACCCAATCACCAAAAAGCTGGAAATGGAAAGAGCAGAAAGAACCACGCCAGAATAGGAGGCCCTGAGTTCAAGTCTCAGAACTTGTACTTATTCATAATTATAGGAAATAAGAAGTAAAGTAGGGCTTGGAATGTGGCTTAGTGGTAGAGTGCTAGCATTCATGAAGCCCTGGATTTGATTCCTCAGCCACACAGAATAAAGCTGTAAGCAGTGCTGTGGCTCAAGTGCTAGAGTACTAGCCTTGAGCACAGAGAGGCTCAGGAACGGTGCCTAGGCCCTAAGTTCAAGCCCTAGGACTGGCAAAAAAAAAAAAAAAGTACACTATGACAGGAGGCTCTCTGGAAACAAGGAGTAGAAGGCAGGAGGAAAGGCCCTGAGGGCACAGAGTCGCTCTCCGGGGATGAATGAGTTTCCTCATTATCTTTGTTTTGTTTTGTTTTGTTTTTGCCAGTCCTGGGGCTTGAACTCTGGACCTAGGCTCTGTCCCTGAGCTTCTTTTGCTCAAGGCTAGCACTCCAACCCTTGAGCCACAGCGCCACTTTGTTTTGTTCTGTATATGAGGTACTAAGGATTCATGCATGCGTCAAGCACCCTACCCCTAAGCCACATTCCTGGTCCCTCCTCATTATCTTGACTATGATAATAGTCATTATTTATATTTATATCAGAACTTATCGTTTAACCATATTCAGTTTATTACATATTAATCCTAACTCAATAAAATTGAGACAAAATAAGTATTCCAACACCAAGTAGAAATGAAACTCAAAAATAGAGATTAATTTAAATTTTTTACATATTTGAATGACATATATACCCATTAAATTATCAAAATTATGGTGAAATAGGGACAAAACCTTAAATTGGTGATACTGAGTGAGCAGAAAAGACGGCTATAGACAGGAGTTTTGTTTTGACTCTTGTCAGTGCTGAGAACTGAGTTTAAGACTGTACTTGCCAGACAGTCTATCCTTGAGCCAAGCACCACGCTTTTTTTTTTTGCTTTAGTTATTTTTTAGACAGAGTCATATGCTTTTTGCGTAGTCAACCTCAGACTATGATCTTCGTACCTATGACCTTCTACACAGCCACAACTATATACGTGTGTGTGTGTGTGTGTGTGTGTGTGTGTGTGTGTGTGTGTGTGTATATGTATGTATCACTACTCTCAGCTCATTAACCAAGATGGAGGTCTCATGACCTTTTTGCCTTGGCTGGCCTGAAACCACAATTCTCCCAATCACTACCTCCAGAGTAGCTGGGATTACAGGCTTGCAACTCCCAGCCCTGATTGTGTGTGTGTGTGGTGTGTGTGTGTGTGTGTGTATATGTGTGCGTGTGAGTGTGTACATGTGTGCGTGCCTGTATAGTGCTTAAAATCAGGGTCTCATGCTCTTACTGAGCTTTTGTTGCTCAGGCCTCCTATTCTGGTGTGGATATTTCTGCTATTTCCAGCTTTTTGGTGATTGAGAGTCTCATGGATTTTCTGCCCAGGCTGGCTCTGAACCTCAATTCTCAGATCTCAGCCTTCTGACTAGTTAGGAATAGTCATGAGCCACCGGTGCTTGGCTCAGTTTGAGTTTTACAAGATAACCTCTTGTCATAGCTTACCACAAACCATAACTCAGTTGAAAGCAATGTCTGAGAAACAGAACTGAACCTCTAAGCATGCAATGAATATTCTAGAGCTTGAGGTCAGTTTGGTTTTTTTGCCCATCCTGGGGCTTGAACTCAGGGCCTGGGTACTGTCCCTGAGCTCCTTTTGGTCAAGGCTAGCACTCTATTACATGCGCCACAGTGCTATTTCTGGCTTTTTCTGAGGAGATAAGAGTCTCATGGACTTCCCTGCCTGGGCTGGCTTCAAATCACTTTCCACAGACCTAACTTCCTGACTAGCTAGGGTTACAGATATGAGCCACCAGCACCTGGCTTGAGGTCAGTTTGTAAAGAATAAACATCTAGGGAGGTCAGTACCCTTTTCTGACCCTTCAGCACCTCCTCAGGGTGCAGTACACTACTCCTTACCACTTAGAAGCCACCATAGCAAAGGGATGAATCCTGGGCTCTCACTGATGTATTTCAAGCCTTTGGAATTGATGCTCACATTGTACAAGGACATCAGCATTAACCTGGAATGAAAAGGAAATGGTGTTGACCAGCTGACCTACCACATCAGACTCCACCCTTCCCTGCTCAAAAAGACCTGACGCATTCAAAGCCTTCTTCACATCTCCAATGTCTAGCCACAGCATTGGGTTAAAATATGTGACAAGTGGTACTCAGCTACATAAGGCCACATGAGAACAAAAGCTTCTCTGGTGATACAATGATGTCACAATGCCACCTTGTATGGGCTCACAAATCACATGAAGGAAGAAGGGATCTCAGAGGAACCTCACCTCTTTTTTGTTGTTGTTTTATTGTTGGTTATATGGGGCTTGAACTCTAAATCTGGGCGCTGTCCCTCAGCTCTTCAGCTCAAGGAAAGTGCTCTACTACTTGAGCTACTTCCAGTTTTCTAGTACTTTTATTGGAGATAAAGAGTCTCATGGACTTTCCTGCCCGGGCTGGCTTTGAACCGTGATCCTTAGATCTCAGCCTCCTGAGTAGCTAGGATTACAGGCGTGAACCACCAGCGACCGCCTGAAAACCTCAATTCTATTTAATGATTCTTTCTGGTACCACATCTGCATTTATATTCAGGTAATCCTCCATTTTGTGCACATACTATGATCTTGATCAATGAAAATCTAATAATCTTTTCATTCAATAACTGTGACACATGACATCTAGCAGCCAGGCCAGGTCATACAAAACTGCTTAACCTATGGTATGGTCTACATCATGCCCCCTCACCCCAAACAAGCAACAAAATAGTCTCCTTAGCAAGAGTCTCAGTAACTGAACCACATCTGGCAACTCAAAGTTCAATGGAATTTGGCAACTACCAACCTTTGGTTCCTAAAAATCTACAGAAACCCCAGACCCTTCACTTTACAGAATAAAAGCAGCAGCAGAGCTGGGTACAATTGCTCATGCTTGTAATCAGACCTGCTCAGGAAGCTAAGTTCAGGAGGAGTGCATTCCAGGCCATCTTGAATTTGAAAAAACAAAAAACTCACAAAATGTTATCTCAACACAAAATCTGGGTGTAATGGTTACTGCCTGCCATCCTAACTAAATGGAAGCATCACAGACTCCATTTCAAAAGTAGCCAGAGCAAAAGGGCTGGAGATATGACCCAAGCAGTGGAGCACCTACCTCACAAGCTTGAGACGCCAAGTCCAAACTCACACTGGCAGGCGAGGGAATGAAGCAAGCTAGACAAATGACTGAAGTGTGGCTTTGTATTAGAGCACTTACCTCAAATACGTAAGTCCCAGGTTCAATCTTCACAAAGGGAGAGGGGGGAAAAGCTAAACAAATATTTTTCAAAACCTTTCAAACAACCAGTGCACTTGCAAGAAATAAGAAGAAGCTGGGCACTGGTGGCTCATACCTGTAATCCTAGCTGAGAATCCTAGACTGAGATCTGAGAATCACAGTTCAAAGTCAGCACCAGAAACTATACGTGGCACCGTGGCTCAAAGTGGTAGAACATTAGCTTTGAGCTAAGGGACAGCACCCAGGCCCTGAGTTCAAGCCCCATGACCAACCAAAAAGAAAAAGAAAAGAACAAATGAAAGAAAGGAGAGGAAAGCATCTCTGATCAGTAACAAGGAGGTTAAATGCAAAAAATGGCAAGTTCTAGAAGCCTGGAGTTTCCATTATAGTGGCTTCATCTAGAGGACTGAAAGAAAAGCCTGACAGACAAACACATTCATTCATTCAGATCACAGCCCTGCAAAAAACAGAAAGGAATCAACTTTCAAGTCCACATGAATACACAGTTGACAGTCCTGGAAACCCCACAAGCCAATAACATAAAGCAGCTCTGGATAGGAGCTTTCCCAGCCCTCCTGGACATTAAGGCATCCCCACAAATACAACTCTAACCACTGTGGGTTCATAATGCAAACCACAGTAAGGCTACAAATAACAGGCAGTACGCCAATGACAGAGTAAGAACCAGAATGCTCTCATGGACTAGAGGTGTTAACTGTAAAAACACACAGTATGTTGAATAGGCTACACACATATACACACATGTGCATAAATACACATACATATAAAGCTGATACTGGGCTTGAACTCAGCCTGGGCACTGTCCCTTAGCTTTTTCACTCAAGGCGGGCACTCTACCTCTTGACTCACAGGTCCACTTCTGGCTTTTTTGCAAGTTAATTGATGATAAGAGTTCACAGGCTATTGGGTCAAGATGGCGACGGGGCAGTAGGGAAACGCCACAGCTCTCTCCAACCAAAAAGAGAGTTCGAGTTCCAACCTTTAATCTCCCCAAGAGACCGACAACAACAAAAAGACGAACACTCAGAGAAAAACCAGAGGTGGAAAATAACAAAAAAAGAAAGAGAGGAAAAGAAGAATTTCAGAACAGAGAAGAGCGAAGACCCCTCCCCCAACCTTTACTGGCCGCGCGGCAGTGCGCCAAGCCGCCGGCCAGCCGGCCCGGCAGGGGCTGCCGGAGCCACAGAGACACAGGGGGCTGCTTGCAGATCACCAGGTACCGGATTGCAGAACAGCGGATCGCCAGGAACAGAGAAACCTACCAGCCGGGAGTCTCCAGGAGGATCCCACCCCACCCATCACTCTCCACCGGAGCGGAGAGGCTCCATCCCGCCAAAGCCGCCCGGCACCAGCAGCGCCACAAAGGGACCTGTCGCGATCGCAACGACCCGGCGGGGGGCCGCCCAACCCAGCCCGCAACCACCCCAACTGAACTCGGACTGCAACAACAACTGACGGACTGCAACAACAACTGACGACCTACAGGGTGAGTACCCATCAGGGGACAGGGAATCCATCAAGGGAGACCAGAGCTGGAGGGAATCCCCAGACCCTGACCTAGACTCCCTACCCCAACACCCGGACCACAGGACCCACTAAAACTGGGAACTGTTCGAGAGCCCCACCAGCCGGTGGAGCACACTCTGCTGGCCAGGCCAGAGCAAGAGCGCCCCGGGAAGGGAGCTTAAATGCTCAAGCCAGGAACAGTGCCCCTGGGTCAAGACTACCAACAGTAGAAGAAATTTGAACTGTGTCCTCCAGGCTGCATAACCAAGGTGGTATACACATTAGCACAGGCCTAACGAGCGCGCTCCAGGCTGGGGCCGGAACCAGGCCAGGGGACCGGCGCCTGAACAAAGCAAAAAGGGTCAGAAGTGGGGCTGTGGCTCAAATGGTAGGGTGCCAGCCCTGAGCTGAAGAGCTGAGGGACAGCACCCAAACCTAGAGTTCAAGCCCACAACCAGCCCAAAACAAACAAAAACACATCAGGAGCCCATAGCAGACTCCAGTATTTGGGAGAGTGCATCCAGAGCATCTGATCTTCCCAAGAGCACCCGCAGGAGCAAACACAAGCAGTCTAGGCTGCTCAACCCTTCCAAAGGCGGGAATTGCTACAGCAGAGAGCTGAGAATCCTAAGTGAATAGCAGCTGGAAATAGGCTCCCAACAGAATCCAGATCAGACACAGACTCTCTCTACCAATAGAGAATCAGCAACCAAGCAAAGACAGACACACCAAAACAAGATTGAAGAGCAGTCTCCTGAACCCCCATGCGAAAATCACAGAGAAAAATCACAAGGTTTACCACTACCCAGGGCAGCAAGCTCACCTCAAAAGCCAGCAGCCACGCAGGGGAGAGCCCCAGTGGGAGCAAAGCAGGAATGGAAGACAAAAACTACATCCAAGGGTTGCTGGAGGCAATGACTCAAGAAATAAAGCGAGAAATGGATCAGAAATTGAAAGAGCACAAGGATGAACTATCAAAAGATATACAGGATATCAAACAAAAATTGGATGCAAAAATAGAAGCTGCACAAACCTCAGTAAGAAGTGAGATAAACGCCAAATTAGAGGTAATGCATACTGATATCACCTCATTGAGAGGTGAGATCAGTACTCTGAGAACCAACATTGAATCCATAAAGGGATCCATTTCCATCATGCAAACCACAATAGAAGCCACGGTCAACAGAGTGAATGAAATGGAAGGTAGAGTGTCAGATACAGAAGACAGAATACACCAACTGGACCAAAAAGTGACAGATATGGAAAAATCACTCAAATTAAACCAAAGGGAAATTCAAGAGCAAGCAGATAATGCTAAAAAATTTAACCTTCGCATAATCGGAGTGGACGAAGGTGAGGAATTCCAGAGCAAGGGAATGCAACACCTATTTAACAAGATAGTCAATGAAAATTTTCCCCACCTCAAAAACGACCATCTTAACTACATCACAAAAGCTTATCGAACACCCAACAAGCAAGATCCCAGGAGAAACACTTCTAGGCACATAATAGTAACAATGATGGATCTGAATAATAAGGAAACAATCCTGCATGCAGCAAAAATGAAGAAGGAGCTATACTACAACGGGAAAAAAATTAGAATCACTGCAGATCTCTCCACACAAACAATGAATGCAAGAAAAGCCTGGGAAAGCACCATACGAGCCCTGAGAGCCAATAACTGCCAACCCAGACTGATATACCCGGCAAAGCTAGCATTCACATTCGATGGAGAACTGAAAACTTTTAATAGCAAAGAAAAACTAAATGAATACATAAACATTAAGCCAGCATTACAAAGAATTCTAAGAGGGGGGACACAACCTGAAGAAAGCAACCAGGAACTGGGACCTGCCCCAAACAGGCATTACTCAAAGTCTAACTGAGCAAGCACAGGAGGAAAGGAAAGAAGAAAAACTTAGGAAAACGGAATGGCAGGGACAACAATGCATCTCTCTATACTTTCTCTTAATATAAATGGGCTGAATTCGCCAATTAAAAGAAAACGAACTGAGGACTGGATCAGAAAACAAGACCCATCCATCTGTTGCCTTCAGGAGACCCACCTCTCAGCCAAACATACAAACAAACTCAGAGTGAAGGGGTGGAAAAGGATCTACCAATCAAATTCCCCCAATAAGAAAGCAGGTGTAGCTATCCTGATATCTGACAAAATAAACTTTTCATTAAAATCAGTACAGAAAGACAAGGACGGACA